GTAGGAAACAGAGCGTACTTTATATGTGTTGTAATGAACAAATACTTTTGTATACGCATTCCAGATGAGCAATTTTACTCTTATTTTGAGTTCTTTGATGGGTATTTTTTACGCATCGCTTGCCGGATGTTAGATTCTGGAAATACGTTTGTCGGATTCATTGTCTTCGAAGCGCCGATGTTTTTTGCTTTTCATTGTCAAGGTGCTGGTTGGCCCCTGATTGTAAAGCTGATTTGATGAATCCGAACTAAGAATATATGTTTGCCAAACTTTAGATACTTTATTTCACGGTTAGGATTGTGAAAGAGAAAGGCAACACTAAGTGAAATCCTTCTAGCGAAGAATATGGCATTACATGCGCCTTTCTCGTTACGTTAGGAGGAAAAATGGGATATTTAATATGCCTGAATGGATGTGTGATGGACACTTTTGAAATAAATAAATAAAAATAAATAAATAAATATGAATAGTTATAATTTCAGGTTACGTAGAGAGTCTGCCTTTAATAACATGCAACACAATCATCCTGTTTGGCTTGTTGCCATGATTGCTGCATACTTGTATGATGATGATGATGATGATGATGATGATGAATACTTGAACGCAGTTTACATACATTTAAACGCTTATGAGCGTAAAGACCATCAATTTGATCAAATAGACATTTTTTTGCCGGAATAGGTACTATGTGCTTGATCTATTTTACCGTTCGGCCTAAAGTGAAATAATTACATTGAAAATTTGATTTTGTTTAAATCAAAATATTATTATTACATATGTTTTCCTAACAGAATTTGTGTTTGCTGTTACCAGGCAAATATTAGAGATGTGAATATGTAAGAACTCGAATGTTTTAAACATTGAGCTATAACTATAGAATAAATGAAAAGTTTGAAAATTATATCCATCTTAGGCTAAATTTTGGATACCCGTTACTGCCATGGGAAATTCATTGTTTGACGTTTACTGCGGGCAAGAAAGCTGATCAGCAAAATTTGATTATCCGTAATAGGCGAGCCAAACCCTCGATCGATATCTTAACTTACGATAAAGCTTGAAAATATATATTGAGGTTTTCAATTGCTCCCTTAAGCCAATTTAACACTTTTGTTATCGCTGATACATCATGTTTATGTTAAACGATCTATTAAATGCTAAGATTTAAATTTATGCTAACGTTCTCTGATTATATTGACTCTTGTGAACAGACATCAAGCTTTGATTAAGAATATTTATATAAATCTTTTGGTGAGCATGCGTTCACATATCCAATGTGACAAAATTAATAATAATGTATTTCGCTACACTTAGGCGATGCATGTAACAATAATAAAAGTTGAGTTCGAGTTGAATTGCAGATGGTATTGTTAAACTATACGACGGTGATAGTGACATTGATTGTTTACCCACTTAGCTATGTATGTATACATTATAATAAAATTTATATTAATATCCATCACTGAATATGATGAGGGGTATGTCACATTTTATCAAAACGTTTCCAGCAACCAGAAGTAAGCTTCAGAGATCCCACAAAATATACACATTCTTGATCAGTATCAAATTCTGAATCGATTTAAACATGTCCGTCTGTCCGTTTGTGTAATATCTGTTGTAAATATTCTCCTGGCCGCAAAAATGAAGCTATCCATCCGCTTCAAACTTTGGCAGAGTCCTTCAAAGTTCTTGCAGCAAATGGATATTGAAAATGGGCCAAATCGGTCGAGAAAGACCGAAAACGAGAGTAAAGGAATTTAATCAGCAATGAAAACCGAAACCCTTAAAGAAAAGTGAATACCAGTTCGTTTTCTCGTAAACAACTCGGAACGTATATAATAAATGCTCTATCTTCTTCTTGCCTCATTGGAAAATGCAGGAATCACAGTTAAAAGGAATTACTATCCTAGAGTCCGAAACATTTAACTGATTAAAGTCAATACGCTTCATCGATTACAAGAGGATATGGATGGTTTTAGTTCGCTAGTCTTCTGAAAATTTTCATTCCGAAAATATGTTTTGTCGAAGAAATCTGTGAAAAAATCGTAGGAGACGCGGCGATCACAAAGCAATTTTAAATCGCTTGGATTATGTTGGATACACAAAGAAGATCAATGCTTGCATGTCGCATGATTCGTCGATGAAAAATTTTGATTGGTTGAACCTATTCCAAATCGAAGCAAATCATTACTGGCGATGGAATAAGAATGTCATTCGCAAAAAATTGTGATTAAAAAAATCTGAGCAATCACAAATGGCTTCTAAGTCACAATTAACGACCCATGATAACATTCTAGAACCTGATCAACCGATTGATTCTAAACCTTATTGTCAGCAGGAACATATTACCCGACCACGGAATCCACCCTCCTTAGATAAGTCAAATAACTCAAATTATAGTAATAATTAAACCAATAAATTCTGTTCGGCTTGATCTGCTGCTTCAATTCATTCTCGCGATTCAGTTTCATTTTAAACGGAGATGAAACTTACAATATAATCGCAGTAAAACCATTAGCGTTTGTATGATGAAAGAAATTAAATTTCGTTCAACAAACATTAGGACAATACATACCGTACAGTAAATACATATCAAGTATGACTTGCGGACATTATACAATACAAGTTATCGGACAGCAGAATCAAAATTTTGTTAACATTGCGTTTATTCTAATTGATGTTGTGCTGTGCGAATATATGCCAGACACAGAAGAAAATTTCCCCAGTGCTAATTAATACAGAAACATATTACTATTTAATCAGATCATCTGTCCATCTATCCATCTTGTTATCTCTCTGTCTGACGTCAGTCCACGTACTTTTGTGTTCGATCCATAGGTTGCAATTTTCTAGATATTTTGATGAAATTTGATACACTGACATGTTGTAGACTATGAAAATGGATTGAGTTAAATGATTTTTACGATTACACACCACAAATATCATAACTCAGTTTGAATAGTTGTCGTATATAAAAAAAAATTTGAAATGTTTAACATTTCTGGATAAAAGTTGCTAAGAAATAATACTTTGTCATATTGGTAAATCTTTTGAACCTCCTCTCAATAAGGCAAAAATTAAGTCTGGACAATTATTCGATTTAGAAAATGATTCTGAATCTATTAATATAATCGAATGTGGTTCACTGTTACGTCTCTCTGAACATTAAGCTTGCCTGTATATCAAGTGGTGTAAGATAGAATTACGAATGAATGAATGAACGGTAAATTTATATTCAAGGATTTATTTTTTGAGCTATCTTCCTATTAACGTGTCTATAAAAAATTCATTGGCAAAAAAACGAACTTTACAAAATTAAGATCATGTTTCCTATAAAAGAAAGTTTATAATTAAAATATATTTTTTGTAATTTTATTGCGGAAATAAGTGTAGAACTCTATTGGATAAAACGATGTATGATATTTAATGGTTGTCCTTGCCCGATTTCTTCACCTTTTAACTTGTTATACCGTACGCCACTTACGATGCAAGGGTGTATTAAGTTTGTGTGAGTGTCTGCAACATCCGAAGGGACTTGCAATAGGCGCCTCTTTTATTCTATTCACTTTTTGAGTCAATTTAAGCTTGTCCATCCATCCGTCCGTCCGTCCGTCCGTCCGCGTGTCCGTTTTATTTTCTTGTATTCAAACTACATCTTGCAATTTTCGAGATATTTTGACGAAATTTGATATATCGACGTGTTTCTACCCAAAGACGTACGCTATTGAAAATGATTCGAATCGAACCACTTTCCCAACAACTTCCCATATAATTTCTTCTTTTTAGAAGTTTTTCGTTAAATGATTGTGGCATGGTCTGGAGTAGTTAATGGTGAGTCGTGACGTTTTTAGTTGTTTTCCTGACAATTTGAACCGACATATAGTATACTAGAATTGTTAATTCAACCTATGCATGATAAACTCTGAAAAAGTCCGGTATATAATTAAAATAAAAAAAGAGGGTTTTTTTTTCTTTTTCGGGCTTTATTTTTTCAATAATAAGGTTTCTACTGCTGTGTTAAGCCTGCCATGATCTATTTTTGTTTCTTGCGTTTTTTTTTTTTCTTTTGTTTGGAATTGCGTGTACATAGAAAACCAAGTTGACTTTATGGGTGTAGATCGAAATCAATTTTTTTTGTTTTTTATATGCATTTGCTCGAGTGCGGCTTCATTTTAGCTTGTACACGAACATAGAACGAATGTACTGATAACACATATATATATATTTTTTTATTTTTTTGTATGTATCCGCTTGTTGCTGCAAGTCATTTAGTGAAGAGCTCCATTCCTTATTTATATCCATAATTTCGGTAAGTAACTT